CACTGTCATTGCAAATGCGATGACTCGTTCGCGAATGCGAACTTTGGACCTTCGCAAAAGCGATCAAGATGATCGCAAATGCGATCACCGCTGAACCCAGACCACCTTCGCAAATGCGAACACAGGGTTCGCAAATGCGAACCTAGCTGACTAAGCCAAACATCACAAATGCGATCTCCACCTCGCATTTGCGAAGCCCGCATCACCTTTTCACACCATCAACATTAAAATTCTCCCAAACACTCTGATACGCGTATGGAGATCCAACCCAAACACCAACACAAGTCTAAAAACATAACACGAACTTGCTCGCGCGATCAAATCATCAAGATAACATCCGAAATCACGAATCGGATCTCAAAACACTTGAATTCAACATGAAACTCAAGAACTTATAAAAAAGCAATCGCGCGTCCGATTCCTATCAAATCAACTCGAAATGATGCCAAACTTTACATACAAGTTCCAAATGACAAAACGGACCTATTCCAAGTCCCAAAATTAAAATCCAAACATGATGGCTATGAATTCAACCCACGGTCAAACTTTTCAACTTCAAATTGCTAAAATTCGGCAAGTCAACACAAATCAAGCCACGAACTTCCGAAATCAATCTCGAGTATACGCCCAAGTACGAAATTACGATACGAACATATCGAAGCCATAAAAACACTGTTACAGGGTCGTTTTCACAAAAGTTAAACCTCGATCAATATTTTTCACTTAAACTTCTAAAGTGAGAATCACTCATCCGAATTCGTTCTGAGTCATCCTAAAATCAAATCCGAACATGCACGCAAGTAATAATACATAATAGGAAGCTACTCAAGACCTCGAACCACTGAACGGATCGCTAAATCTCAAAATGACTGGTCGGGTCGTTACACTGCAGCTGGATAAAAGAGGAAAAAATCGAGACTTAGCTCATTTTATACCATTTCTCAACCTAAATACTCTAGAGGCGATTTTTCAAGAGACTTTTCTTCCCAAATTCGTTGGTAAGTGACATTAATCCATTAAATTTTACTTACCCATTACTTTTCATGAGATTTCAACATCAACTTTAGGATTTTCATGGTACAAATTAGGAATTTGGGTAGAAAGTAGATTTTTTTGTAAAATTGAGATTTAGACCTCAAATTGAGGTCGAATTTCGAAACAAATAACATAACCGGGCTCGGGGGTGAATGGGTAATCAAGTTTTGGTTTGAATCTCGAATTTTGACCAAGCGGACCCGGAGTTAACTTTTGTTGACTTTTTTAGAAATAATCAAAATTGAACCTCATTCATTAATGGGTAGTTTCTAAAGCTTATTTTGAATCGTTTGATCGATAGTTTGCTAGATTTGGTTAGTTTGGAGGCTTGTTCGAAAGGCAATGTCGTGGTTTGTTGATTGTTTGATTCACGGAGTGAGGTAAGTGTTGGGTCTAACATTGACTTGAGTGAATTAGGAATCCTTGAACTATTGTTATGTGAATTATATGGGAAAAATGACGTATATGCGAGGTGACGAGTGTATATACGCCGTCATGGTATTTGTTTCCATGTTTTCGTTTATCTCATGATATATCTTGCTTCATGCCTTAATTGTTACATGTTTATTTAACTTTTATGCCCTAATTTTTACTTGTCATTTAATTATTCTTGTATTAAATTATTCGTCCCTTCCATTACTCCCTGCTTATTTGCTACTTGTTTTATATGAATACCTAAATTGTCACATGCTTTACTCGTTTTATTATTTTGTAATATTTGTTGCATTCTATAATGTGGTTGTACTTGCGTGAGTTATTTAGTTGATAGTTACCGATGAATTAGTAAAGTTGAAACTTCGAGTTGTTAGAGATTCTTTGATTATTATATAGTTCTTTATTGCCTTGTGCATTTACCCTCTTGACGTAGAAATTCTTGTAAAATTTGGTTGTTGAATTGTCTATGTTCATTTAAATTGTTTGGGGGCGGGCTACACGCCGCAACGGAAATTGAAAGGTAATGGATTGAAATGGTGGAATAAGGACGGATTATGATACTGATAGATGATGATATGGTGGGATCGGGTTGCGCGCTGTAATAGATTATATATGTGGTACTTATTTGTGATTGTTGGCATTGCCTCGGTATTGTGATATGAGACTATGAGATTTATTATTCTGGGCTCTCTGGTAGTTAAATTTCGAGTTCGTTCTCATGAGTTAACTGATTTATTTCCATTTTCTATTTTTCCGTTATTATTTTTATTGCGTATAGGTTATTATAAGTGGCCCGCCTTAGCCTCGTCGCTACTTCGTCGAGGTTAGGCTCAGCACTTACAGAATACATGGGGTCGGTTATACTCATACTATATTCTACACTTCTTGTGCAGATATCGGAGTGGGCCCAGCAGCAGTGACTGAGATTGCCCGGATCTAGCTACCTATGGAGACTTGAAGTATAGCTGCACGATGTCCGCATCTGTGAAGTCATCTTCTATGTCATCATTGATGTTTAATTTGATTCAAACAGTTGTATTTTATTCAGACTATTATCTGTAGTACTCTAGATGCTCATGTATTCGTGACTCCAGTTTCTGGGATTGTATTTGGATTACGTCATTCAACTGTTTACTACCTTATTTTAGACTATTCGATTGTTATTGTTATCATTTGATTTGAATTGTTAAAATTAGTTAATAAATATAGTTAACGTTGGCTTGCCTAGCAAGTGAATTGTTAGGCGCCATCACGGTCCCGAGGATGGGAATTTCGGATCGTGACAATATCTTTGGGCAGTGAATCATTCACCCATTGCTTCAATGTCAAATATCCGGAAAACATGTCATCACTTGTTTTTTCTTTGAAAATGTTTCCATCATCACGATATCATAGCTATATATTGAAGACATAACTAAATAAATAAAAATATGTTCTTTCTAGCAACTTAAGCTTTTAGATGAGTTGGTCACACACTTCAACATGGTAACAGAGCAGGCAGAGGTTCTGGGTTCGATTCTCACATATA